TGATGGTGGATGGAAATAATTATGGCTCATTGGGTTCTAGGAATCCCAGAGCAAGCTCAGCTCTCGAAGGCAATGACTGAATGTCCTGGACACAAACCGTCTTCTGCAGGACTTTAAGGTCACTGCCCACATACATGGCTCTGGCTCTGTGCAGTGACAGAATCTCCTCTGCCTTTGGTGTCAGCATCTGGAAAGTTTACTGTCTGTAGGTTTTGTTTCTAGAATGGGAGGATGATTTCACTTTTAAAACATGCCAGCACACAATACTTTTCTCACTAATACCCAAACTTCAGGTAATTATCCAAATAAAAGAAGGAGTTTAAATCTTGCACAGCCAGGAATATGACCAATGTCCAAAATCCACATCCTCATATCTTACAGCCTGTTTCCCCTTTGTTCTAGTTCTTCTCCAGGCTTCTGCCTCATCCCACTGGTCCTGTGACTCTCCACCTTTCTGTGGATGAAGTTATCTCTATGCTAAAAGTATTGCATTTTTCTTCCCTCCTTTACTTTCCTGCTCCGATTGACCCCTGGCACTTCCCAGGCATCCCAGCCTCAGCCTCTGTTCTTCTGTAGAGGCTGCACCTTCTCCAGTTCAGCAGTACCTGTCAGAAAAGATGGTGTGAAGAAGCCATTTCTGTATTCCATTCTATCCTTTGGGAAATCCTTGATGAATGATGAAAAAATCCTGTTTTCGAATTCTCCTGTGAAGAATATAAAACAGCCAGAACCAACATTACCCCGTGTGCAGCAAGTGTCTTCATATCAGTTTCATCCCAGTCTCTCTGGATGGTGTGCCCCTGATTTTTCAAGAGCATTTGCATAAAACACTAAAGTAAATAATTGATGTGAAATCAACTCTTTAAGCATGGTTACTTCTTTATAGGCTCAAATATGATCACTATTACATGTAGCCCTGTGTCTGTTTTGTTTTTTACTATTTCTTTCTTTCATTCTATCCTTCCTTCCTCCCTCATTCCTTCCCTACTTCCTCCCTCCCTCCCTCCCCTCCTTTCTTTGAAAAGCTTCCCATGTGAGCTGTGTGGCGCAATGAGGTAGGTACTTGGGACACTGGATGCATAAGACCCACTATCTCAGTAAACATCTAGGAGAGCCCCTGGTTAGGATCACACAACTTTAAAATGGACAGAGACTTGGAAATTACTTATTTCAGCACATTGTTTACTGATGAGGGACTGGGAAGCTATATAAATCACAATACTTAGCTGTGTTAATACTGATTATTTTCCTAACTTCCATATAACATGTATTTTATATTTATGGTCTAGGGTAATCTGTGAATTTATTTTTGCTCCTTTCAGAATATAAGCATCATGAGAGTGAGAATATTGTCTTACTCATGCTTTGTACTAGTAGCCCTTCGATGACTGTAAACAATAAAGCATGCTGGGAGTGAAACTGAGGATGAAGGAATTAAAATTTCCCTGGATTAGGGTGAAATTGTGCCATGCACCCATAAGGCTAACATGGGACAGAAAATAACCCAAGTTTCTGAGCATGCCCTGCAGAACAGCAAGAGGACCACTGACAAGAGAGGAACTTGGTGATAGCCCTCTCCTGACTAAGCATCTTGAGGAACATTGAGAAGCTAAAATGACTGACTGTAAACTTGAGACGTCACTAAAAACCCACCGCATGCAGACATAGAACAGACAGTCACACTTGGGCAGAGGACTCTTAGAACTTCAGCTGCCAAGGCCATGTGCTCCCCCTCCCCTACCTAAAATCCCAAATAAAAACCCTTGCTTGTAGCTCTTCAGGGAGTTTGGGATTATAGCATTAGCTGCCCGTCTCCTTGCTCAGCGCTTTGCAATGAAATTCCTACTTTTTTCCACTATACGGGTGTCAGAGATTGGCTTGTTACACCACATCTGAGCGAACTCATTTCAGGTTCCATATCCGAAGTTCCAGGAAGGCCAGTGGTTGATTCTTTTTTGTCACTACTGCATCCCTAGTGCTTGTTCTGGGTTCAGTAAAAGACAAATGAATACCTGCGTCTTTGAATGGGTTTCACCAGTAGCGGACAGTTAGTGTTGTCACACAATGTGTGCTTGTGCACGTGTGTGTGTGTGTGTGCGTGTGTGTGTGTGTGTGTGTATGTGAGTCAAATGCCTACCTGGCAGCTGTGGCTCCCTGATCTTACTACCGGTCCTGGCTGACTTGGGTTTCCTAAGGGCTGAGGCCAGGCCCACGGGGGCACTGAGATCTGAGAAGTGCCCTGTTCTGACCACTAGGTGGAGCTGTGGCCCTACCAAAACCCTGAGGCTGGTGCAGGAGGGGAAGGACTCCTGGAGGGAATAAAGAGGACCCTGCTTCTCAACAGGGGAGATTCAGCAAGGTCTGGAGACACTTTCGGTTGTCACAGCTGGGGGTGGGAGGTGCTACTGGCATGTAGTGAGTGGATAGAGACCAGGGATGCTGCTAAACATCCTACAGCACACACAACAAAGAATAATCCAGCACAACATGTCAATGGTCCCCAGGTTGAGAAACCCTGGCCTAGGAATTGAGTTGTAAACTTGGTACCAAAAGGGAAGGTGACCTGTAGACAATTCAATGGTAAAATCCTTGGCTTAGACTTTCCCCAACTGCCTTGCTATGATTCACCCCAGAACATCTTTGCTATCACAAGTGACTTCTTATTCCCTAGGAGCCACCTATCCCCACAGGGCTCTGCCTCTGGGACAGAGGAGAACATCACAGGGAGCAGGACTGCAGTTTTATCCCCTCAGGGACTCATCATGCTCCTAGCTAACATCAGTTCATGCAATTTAAGTGGTCCGCAGCTGGTTCTCTGAGGAGACCTCACAGCAATCGCTTGCCCACAACTGATCTAGTCAGGGGGCCACTGAGCATAGACCACATTCAAGGGAGACAGGATGTGAGTGGGATCGCCCTGCATTATCCTGAAGGAGAAGCAGCAGATGCAGAGAAGGAAACCAGCCTGACTCTGAGGGAGGAGCCCCAGGAAGCAAGGAGGAGGTGTCCAGATTCTGGGGCAGGGAAAGGGGAGGGAGGCAGCTGCTGGCACAAGAATGACGCTCAGAGAAACATCATTGAGGCAACATCTCCAACCCACTCAAACTCTCCCTAGAAATTCCAAACAGGGCTTTGAAAGAAGTAAATTCAGGCCATGAAAAAGGAGGAGAAAGAGTTAGATTAGAGGAGAGCCTGCCAATGGGGAAATCCTTCTAGGCTGTGACATCACAGGCCAAGGACCTGTCAGGGCCCTGAAGCACTGCAGCCTGGTCTTCTTACCACCCAAGACCAGAATCCTGGGCTAGGGCTTGGCCTGACCAGCACTGATTCCACATGGGGTCCAGGCTCCTCTACTGTGTGGCCCTCTGCCTCCTGGGAGCAGGTGAGTCCTGGGCCCTGGTGCACAATCCTACTTTGAGTCTTTAAGCCTGTTCATTACGCCACCAGAAACAGGCTACCTCCTGGGACTTGTCTGAATTCTGTTTCTTTCCTTCTCAGGACCCTTGGACACAGCAGTTTCCCAGACTCCAAAATAGCTCATCACACAGGTGGGAAATAAGAAGTCCGTAAAATGTGAACAGAAGCTGAGCCATGATGCTATGTGCTGGTACAGGCAGGACTCCAAGCAATCGCTGAAGGTCATGTTTACCTACAACAATAAGGAACTCATTCTAAACAAAACAGTTCCAAGTCGTTTCTCACTTGAACCTCCTGACAAAGCCATTTAAACCTTCATGTCGACTCCCTGGAGCCCGGCGACTCTGCTGTGTATTTCTGTGCCAAGAGCCAAGACACAGCCCTGCAGAGTCACTGCCTCTCTGTGCACAAACCCCCAGCCCCAGCCAGGAAGCTGTGGGGACAACATGTTCACCCAGCCCCAAGGCTGTTTACCCCTGTGAGACCCATGGCTGGAGTTTCAGTCTGTAATACAGCCTGTCAGTACACCCCCTGGGGCAGTTCTAAGTTTTATGCATGTGGAAGTCTTACAAAATTCTACTCATCGGCTAGTTCAGGGGTTCACAATAAATTCACTAAAGTACTCGGGGCTCCACAAACAATAAAGGGCCCTGTCCTGTGCACTGAAGTTCTTAACTGATGGAAGAAGCCATTCCTTGCCTTTCTCAGCTGTACATATCAGTACATAGTGTAGATATCATTATGACTGAAAACACACTATTCACTGAAGATATTTGATGAGCAAAATGCTAAAGGAAGATGTGGCAAAGATAAAAGTTTCTAGGACCAAAGGGAAATTAGATTATCAATGAGTTCACTGTTTATAGAAAACTATTTGTAGAAGCATGAAAGTCCATGGCGACAGGTAAACTAGAAAAAAAGGGTAGGGTGAAGCATCAGTGGAGGGAGCATGTGCACTGCAGACTCCCTGCCTTCAAGAAGGATGACCAGGATGATTCTTACCAATTCTGACTGAGGGTCATCTTTGAAGCCTCCTGGAGAACAGGCAGTAGCCAGATGATGGAGGATATTATGACACATGGAAGGGACTTTGGACACAAATCTCTAGGTAGTAGCTAGCCATTGGTCCTACCTTAGGTGAGATAACATCATCAAATTCATATTTTTTTACAATAACACCGGCAGCAATAGGGATCAGAAGGGAGATAGATTTTGGGTGGAATCACAACTAGGAGACTACTGAAGTGTTCTCCATGAAGGGTTATAAAAGGGTCTGTGTGGGGGACTGTGGATGGTGTAGCGCAGAGGCTCTGGATTCTGTCGTGTTCTTCTAAAGAGTGTGAGGTTGATTCTGGCAGGTTTGAATGTGAGATTTGCTGGGATCTGTTTCAGTTGTGCCCTCCTCTTAGGGGGCCCTAGCACGTTGTCATTATTATAGGGCATAGCCTTTCGGGGTGTCAGTGGGAATCACAGCACCATCTCCAGTGTCCCTCATTCCAACCATTCTAACTCTGACTGCCAGTGTCTTCCAGCCGAATGTCTGCTGAAATCTCCGCTCATCTCTCCAGCCCTCCAGACCCTGTTCTCTGCTCACCTTCTGGAATTCCACCCTGTGCATATGCATTAGAAGTTGGCCAAGAAAAATGGGAGATTTCCTTACATGTATTCTTGGGGCTCTTTTTCAGTTCTCTGTACCCCAAACCCCAGCTGTCTTGGAATCGTGTATGTATTTTCTCTTTATCTTCAAGCACCATTTGCTATTACTATTTTATATACACAATGTTTGTATGAATCTACTTACATGTTTACCATCCATCTTTTCACTATTCCTTCTTGCAATTCAGACTGCCCTTAGATTATTTTCCTTCTTCAGGCACAATTCGTAGTTCAGATAACTTAAACTCAACTTTCACCTACCCCTTGCTTCCAGAAATGCTTATGTTCACTATTCTCAAGGTGAGCGAGCCTTTCACTTTCACTCCTTGTTTGAGGTTTCAGTTTAAATTCCTTTTTTAAATTAATCTTTGGAATTTTGCCTTACTTGTTGGGAGTCAAACAATGCAATAAAATTTTATTTATTTATATTTTCTGTTTTCTTGTAGAAAGGCCAGTCAGGTCATCTTCTTGCATCAGTGGATGTCCATCATAGTAATTTTAATAGTAACAATGCTACCCTTTTAACTAGGGTTAATTTTAGATTCTTATGTAAGAATGGGATATCTCCAACTGTAGTAGATTGGAGGCCCATCGCGTATGAAACTGGTTCAAGGGGATAATATCTGACCTCTTTGCTTAAATTCTAACCCATACACCATTACACTTTTTTGTTTTATGGACTCTATTGAAAATCTGATAAAATTTACTACATTAGAAACCTGCTAATATTTTCCTCCTGATACAGTGCATCCCTGGGTTAAAAAAATTTTAATTATCAACTCTTGACCTAAAGCATGTGTAACTACACTCACTATCCCCAACACAGATTTACATAGGTTCTTGTTATTCCAGTTTGGTACTAAATATCTGAATCAATAATAATACATAAATGGTAAATATCAATTGGCAATTATAGATCATTTCATTTTTGTGTTTACCTATATCTTCAAATCTTCTAAAATGAAAGATAAATAGTGGCATAACAGTATGTTTTGAGAGAACAGATGCAATTCCAATAACTAAATGGACAAACATGTATAAACAGGTAGTTTACATAGTGAAGTAGAAATTACTCATGGTTGGTCATCCTATCTGGTCCCAAATTGGAAAGCCCTCTGTAGAAGTGAGCGGCCTGGTTTGGTTTCTAACAATTTAGAAATAGACAGGGCTTTGGAGATCATTTCATGTCAGTTCCCCTGCCGTAACAGTTGAGGAAATAGTGTCACCTATATGACATCATTTAAACACTGAAATACTGAATACATTTCTTAAACTTCATATAGGACACATTTTATTCTCTAGTGTGGTCTGTGACTAGGTTAATTGCCCCACCCCAAGAGAATTTTGGGTGAAAACATTGACATTTTATGGTTGCTCTGAGCTGTGGCTCACCGAGTATTTGTTGAACAAATCAAGCTGGCTTATTAGCTCCACAGGGGCTGTGATAATGTCTGTTTTGCTCCTGACTAAGAATCCAGACATACCAATCTCTGTTGAGCAAAAGTTGAATGTCCTAGGTGTGTGGACAAGTGGTTTGTGGCCAACTTTGTGTGTTGTTTCAGTTGCTTCTTTCCTCTTCACAAGTCCCTAGAGCTTCATGCCCATCACAGCTGCGCCAGGTCTGTGGACTGAGGGATAGGTCTGGATTGCTGACCCTGGGCTGGTAAGCGGCCTGCAATCTGGGAGATGTGCTGCTTTGACCACAAGGAGGAGCTGTGGCTCTACTGAAATCTCTGAGCCGTGGGTGAGGGGTGACAGTTTGGAGTGAGTGATGGATGCGGGGAGGAAGGAAGTGAGGGCACTGGGGCTTCATCTTTATATCAGTTGAGAGCATCAGTTGTAGACATCTCGAAGATACTAAACTAAAATTACATTTTCAAATTGAATTCCCTTTGTCTTGCGTCAGATAATTTGTGTTAGTTCAAAAACAAGAAAACAGGCTCGAAATGGAGTCATTTATGTTAAGCCCCACATCATCAGACCAAGACTAGATTACACTTTTGGCTCTCCTAGAAATGGAAACTTAAACCAGTCAATCAGGGATCAGCTGATCAGCACTAGTGAGGTAACCTGCCTGACAGACCACTTTGTCCCCTAAAGGAAAGTGACATTGCTAAATCAACCCACGTTTTGCTAGTGCAACTTCCTTCTTCCTGCTCCCTTCTGCCTATGGAAGTCTTTCGTTTTGTACAGCTCCTCTGAGCTCCTTTCTATCTGCTAGATTGGATGCTTCCCCATTTATAATACCTTGAATAAAGCCAATAAAGTCTTTAAAATTTGCTCAGTTGAATTTTGTTTTTTAACATGTTGTCATCTTTCAGCAACCTGTTGGCTATAAGCCCAGCCAAGCCCTGTACCCTCACTACAGGGGCAGAGGATGGCTTATCTCTTGTATGTTCCCCTCAGCCCCTTTCCCAGTGTCTGGCTCCTGGCTGGCATCAGATCACAGTGATGATTTTTTTTTCTCTTTCTTAAGGAAGATTCACCCTGAGCTAACATCTGTTGCCAATCTTCCTCTTTTTGCTTGAGGAAGATTTGCCCTAAGATAACATCTGTGCTAATCTTCCTCTATTTTATATGGGTTGGCGCCACAGCATGGCCGCTGGCAAGTGGTGTAGGTCTGAGCCCGGGAACCAAACCCTGGGCCACTGAAGCAGAGCATGCCAAACTTAACCACTAGGCCATGGGGCCAGCCTCAGTCATGCATTTTTAATGCTAGGCACTGGTCCAGAGTTGGACTATGACCATCCAGTCTTCCTCCCTCCAGGTGGCAGGTCAGAGGAGCTCCACTGAGCTTAAGACCCTGAGAGAAAAAGTGTGTTGAGGGATGTTGTCCTGTGTGACTGAGCAGAGGAGGAAGGAGATCCTTTGAAGGGGAAATGGTCTGTCACTGAGAAGGGGTCTTGGAAGGGAGGAGGATAGAGGGAGAATCTATATAATGAGGAGGGCAGCTAATAGCAAAAGAGCAGCTGTCAGAGGAATATCCCAGCCCAGTCATTCAAGTCCACCTTCTATCAGAATCTGTATAAGGTGTGAAAAGGGGAGGAAGAAATAGTCCCTGGGGCTGAGGAAACTGTCAGGACAGTGATGTCACAGGCAAAACCACCAACCAAGTCCAAGGAGACCAGAGCCCCGCCTCCTGTCTAGGGCATCCTTGTTACACAGGCCACCACAGCCCTGACTCCACCATGGGCTGCAGGCTGCTCTGCTGTGTGGCCCTCTGTCTCTTGGGAGCAGGTGAGTCATGAGTTCAAATGGGCTGCCCTTGGACTTCAAGCCATTTTCTTGTGGCTGTAGTAAGAGTCTTCCTTCTGGCCTTTGTCTGACTTTTGTCCCTTTCCCCCAGCAGTCCCCAAGGACACTCGAATTACTCAGACACCAAAACACCTGGTCATAGGAATGAGAAATAAGAAGTCTTTGAAATGTGAACAACATCTGGGACATAATTCTATGTATTGGTATAAACAGAGTGCACAGAAGCCCCTGGAACTCATGTTTGCCTACAACTTGAAGGAACTCGCTAAGAACGAGAGTGTTCCAAGTTGCTTCTTTCCTAAATGTCCAGACAGCTCCCTTTTATACCTTCGCATGGATGCCCTGGAGCCAGAAGACTCCGCCATGTAGTTCTGTGCCAGCAGCAAAGACACAGCGCCACAGAGTCACCTTCTTCCTGTGCACAAACCTCCTGGGTCCAGTCAGCAAGCTGTGGGGACAACCAACGCTCAGTTCAACGTTTGTGGAGGGTCCTAGACAGAAATTTCAGACCCTAATACCGCTGTCAATTCACTGGATATGGCAATGCTAATTTCCATGCACAAACATCAACAACCCATGGCCTGACTTTGTCTTGAACAAGGCTGTGCCCGCAGCTGAAAGTAGGACAGATATGTTCAAGTTTTAGTTGTTCCAAATGCCTTCCCATTGGCTTGTGCCCCTAGGAAATCTTACACCCTGACCACAGCAGTCCTACAATCCTCCTTCCAGTAGGTACCTTTCTCTGACTTTTCCTTCCGTCCAAGTTAGACCCTGGACCTCAGCCCTGATCCCAGCTCCATTATGCTCAGACCTTTTTCAAAGCACCTCCTTCCCTCATCGAGTGCTCTATCCGTTCCTCCCACTGAGGACAACAGTCCCCTCACCTGGTTTGGATCACTGTTCTCTGGTTCACTCTCTGCTGCTCATTCAGGGTCCCGGCTCCTCATTGGCTTCTCTTCCACTCGAGCTCTCACACTGTCAGGCTTCATTCTTTTTCCTTCTGTCTCTTTAATCCTAATTCCTCAGGGCTTCGCATTGTGCTTATAATTAAATGCCCTTGGATTGTTGCTCACAACAGGTAGTAAGAAGTGACAGTCTCCTGACATTTCAGAGCAGGACTTTGTATTTGGGACAATCTTTGCTGAACCCCATATCTTCTCTCATTGCTCCTTGTAGTGGCCTTCAGTCCCGCCAACACCAGCAGACCCCAAGGTCTGAGCAGAGCCCTCATCCTGGGGTGGGTGTGCACTGACACAAAGACCTCTCTCCTGTAGAGGGCGCTCAAGGGACAGTGAGGACTCCTTATGAATTTCAAACCACAGTACAGCTGTCAATTCAACTCACCTTGCAACTCTCTATTCTATAAACATCTTTAGATGTGGGTTTTATTTTACCCAGTTGTGACTCTGCCCTGTCAACTGGTTAAAAGATAAACATATCTGGTTCTAGTGTTTTTTTTCCTAATGTCTCTTTATCATGAAAAAAACAAGCCTGCTGTAAAGTGGATAATTTGCTTTAGGTTTCACAGGATCCTCTAAACAAACACTTGTGCCCCTACAAGTCACACCCCACAGTAGAGCAGAGGACAAGAAGAACGCAGCCCTGTGAGGAGGTGTGTTGCCTGTGACTCTGCAGGTCCCACAGTTTCTGAGCCTCTCTTCTCAGTAACCAAGGAGCCCCTTC